TCCATTCTTTCAGCATGAAGATTGTGGATTTCATGTTTCTTCATGAAGTAATTTTTTTGTCAACTCTATATGAAAGCTTTTTTTTCCCTGTCTCAGCTGACTGGGCATAAAAATGTAAGGTTAAACAAAAGAAAATGAAAAACATTTTTCACTGGATATAGTTGGGAGAGGGAACTTCAGTGTAACCCCTTACTTCTCTCTAAGTTGAATAATAAAAAAATCGGTTTCTCTTCTTAAAAGTTACATCAAAATGTATTACTTTATTGTTTTAAATCAGCTGTCCTCTGCTTTTGTTCTCTGGTAATGTACCATTTTGCTGTTCATTGACTTACTTATTTCTTGCTTAACACTGATAAGTATTATGGGAATTTTTTGGTCTCCTTCAAAGTCTTTAAAAGCTAATACCTGTACTGGATGGTTGTCCTTATTTTACCATTATTCATGATCATCTTTATGCAAAGGAACTGAGCTTGTCAGGAAGCCATAACAGCTACCTTGAAAAGGTTGTTTTATAACAGACTGAACACTAGTATGGGCTCCAAAAGAGGTGAGCGTGGGGCCTCAATGCTTAGTTTTGGTTTTTAAAGCTATTTTTTCCTTACTGAGTTGAACTTCATCTTACACATATTACTGACATACTTATCTTTTTGTTTTGTTTTGTTGTTTTTTTTTTTGTTTTTGTTTTTGTTTTAAGATTCTGTAGAGTTCTTTGGAATGGGGACCTCTTAGGAGGCATAATTTAAAGACATTAATAATTCCCTTCTCCTGAGCCTCCTTCCTGAATTTACACTTTGTTTACTAATTTTAATTCTCACTTCATTAAGACAGTTTCTGAAAGAGTAGAGCTCTTCATGGGATCCAAACTTAGCACTACACCTGTGTGCTTTTCTGTTACTCACATTTCATCCAGATGCTTCCTTCGTACCGGAAAAATACAAAGGAATCTATTGTTGAGACACATTGTAGACTCCACATGTGCTAAGAAAGGTTTTGAGAGGTTTAGAAAATTGAATGCACTGTTTGGGGTTTGAGATTCAGGAATCTGAATTACACTAACAAACTTTCTAGTCATACTTGTTTAAGTCTCTTTTCATAACTGCTAACATTAGTAGTCCACAAGAATAATTCCTGCTGTTTAGCTGGAACAGGATTTTAAGATTAATTTAGGACAAAGGTGAGTATCAGGAGAGAGGAGACATTACAGTAATTTTTATTTTTCTGCTTTTTTTTTAATTTAGCACAATTTCCACTGAGATAAAGCTATTTACCAAACAGTTGCAAAATAAATCTCCAGGTGAGACATGGGTGAAACTCTATAGTGCTAATGTTTCCATTCACATCAGTGAGGTGTGTGGTGTGCTGGCCATCTGTTATATAAACCTGAATAGGATCTGAAATCCTTACACCAAAGACCTGATTTTTTTTATGCTGTTGCTTTTATGAAGGTGTGCCATAAAACTGGCCATGTGCTGGCAACCTGTGCAACTGGACCCCTTTAAATCTGTGTGAAAGCGATGACATTCCAAGCACCTCAGCATCTCTTAAAATTAAACCAGCTAATTACATTAAAGTCTGTGTGTTGAAGAGATTATACTCTTGCTTAGGGTTTTTTTTCCCCCCCCCATCTGCAAGATCCCTGATGGGGTCCACATCTGTGAGAGCAGCAGCACGCACGACAGACTGCCTCACGATTGGCAAGCCAACTGGAAGGAACGCTGAGACCCACAAGGATTGCTGGACCCGCAGGGCTCTCAGCTTGTGAGAACAGCGAGCTAATTAAAGTCTAAATAAATGAAATATCTTTCTAGCCAAAGTAAAGATAAATACATAAATGCCTGCGTGTTGTTGGAGAGGACTGAATAAAGATGAAAATATTTGTGTCATGTTTATCCAGTAACATCTCTTTAATTGTAAAAGGGGCGCTGCCAGCAGACTTGGTGAATATGTGCAAATGTCCAGTTCCTGATTTATTTTCAATCTCTTCTTTTAATAGGAGGGGTTCAGCAAAGGTAATGAAGAGTATTTTTTGATACATTTTTCAATAATTATTTAAAGTTTTATAAGTCTCAGTGTGTATTTTTAGCAATTCTTCCTAGCTACTGCTTCCTTGTCACTGGCAAGTTCTGCCTCTGCCTCCGTGCCAATGCTTCGCAGGCTGATGTCACCAAAGGGGCTGTATGCTTTGTTTGCAAACTAGTGGTATGTTATATGCTACTAATGCATTATTTCAGTTCTTCTGTTAACAAATAACATTTTAGCCTTCCCATCTTTAACAGTGCCTATAAGAAAAGAAGTAGAGTCACTTAATACATCAGTATGAAGTAAATTTTTCCTTTAAAATTTTAAATTTTCTGTGGGCCACTTTTTTTCAGTCTATTAGACTAAACCTAGGTTAAATACATATTTAAGGAGTTTGCCCAAGACATATTTAGGAGTCAATTTAATTTCACTCATGTGTAGACTGTTAAGATTATTTGTATTTAAATTGAAACACTTGCTAAAATGCTTTGTTTAAATGAGCCTTTAAAGATATCTAGTTTTGGAAGGACTGAGCAATTGCATTTCTCAGCTAAACCTTGGTTTAAGGTCCTTGAAAAATTCAGTCCTCAAATAAATATTTGAATGTCTCTAGGCACCCATTCTGAGAAGATGTGGCCACTGAGTTAGGTCTTGAATTTCACATCTGCCATTCTCACAGATGAGAGCAATGACTGCAAGACTGTAAAGAAGCCATCAGGATGCTAAAGGAAGCTGCAGTGCTATGCAGTCAGCAGCCTTGACCTGACATCTACTTAAAAGTGTAATCTCACTAAAGTGCAAAAAATGAAAAAGAAGTAGCTGTTAAATAATCTGTTGAAATTCTAGCACTAACCTTTTTGTGATTGTACTCCTTAAATGTTGTAATGATTCATTCCTGATCATAGAAGTAATAAATATTAAACATGTTTAAATTGTAATTCCTTACAGAAAATACTGTGAGAGGGAAAATTAGTATGAAATTGGATGTCTGTTCTAGGAAAACAAACAAACACAGCAGAATGAGTAGAGAGAACATGTTTTTCTGCTTATTTTACAAGCAGGACTGTAAAGGAAACAATTCTCTCATTACATGTGTATAAAAATAGGCTTTGAGACTGACTTCTCCAGGCATGAGAACTCCTAGCATTTCCCCGTTACCTTGATCCACATCTGCTCACTTGTTCAAAAATGAACCAGAGGTAAGTTTTTATTGGGATGTCACACAGAGTTTAGTACAGGAATGGAACATATATAAACACGTCCTGACCATGAAACAAGAGCAGCAGTATCGTAGCAAACTGCATAAAATCACTCAGTGCTGACTTCTGTTGTCAAGAGGCAACAAAAACAGTCCAAAAACTGATTAATGCATTCTTCAATTCTGGTCAAAGCTCAGAAGAAATACTTGCCTGGATGAAAAGAGGGAGCTGGGGTTGATTAAAGGAAACAAGGGCAAAGAATCTCATGGTAGATGGGATGTGCAAGCTCTCAGGATTGTTTAGTGAAAAATAGGCCAAGTTCAGACTTTGTCTAAGTCATCTGACCTTTGTTGTGGGAGAAATTAAAAGTTATTCTGTTCAAATGAGCTCAGCATACTGGCCAGATTTTAAGTCTGCTGACTGCATTTTCCCTGGCTTGGTACTCAGCAAATATCCAAACTGCTGCAACTTCAGTTACTCTTGCTCCAGTCATGAACTCTATTCTGCAGTGTCAGACAAAAGAAATAATTCCAAAGTAGTTGTATTTAATTTGTAAAGTGAGTTGGCACCATGACTGTGGGCATCTAAAAACCTTGCAGACACTGCTAAGGAAGTGATAGTGTTAGTTACGTGAAGTACAGCCTGCAATCTATGTAATTTATAAATTGAAGAAGATAATGAAATACTGCAGCACTTTCAGCATGTGAATGATGTGAACCCAAGAAAGTTTTAGTTTTGCAAATCCTCTGAATATTTTTCACTTAAGTTGTAATAGGAGGACCAGAGGAAATGCTTAGTTTGGCTTTAAGTTTGAAGGGCCACCATTATATTTGTAGCTTCTTCTGGCTTCCTCTGAAGATAGGAAATCCTGAAGATGAGGTATAAATGTTATGCACCACAGGATAAAAGTTTTGGGTGAAATCCAGTCCATCTCAATTGTCTGTGTAGCTTCATCCATCTAGATGCATAATGAAGCAGTTTTCCTAAAGTCTGTAGGTTGAAGGATGAAGCAGGTTTCCTAAAGTCTGATAGATGTTGATAGGTGCTTTGGAAGGCTTCCCTGGTGAGATCCTGCCTCCTACACTTCTGGCATCCAAGGCGGGTGGCTACAAGTTTCCTTTGAGGGGCCACAGAGACACCACCCTCCCCCATTAGCTGTACAGACAGGACAAGAACTTGAAACAGAGCACAAGAACAGAGTCACTGCCTCAAGTGAGCCACCCCCAGTCAAATGCTTCTATGAAACAGCAACCATTATTCACCCTGACATTTTATTTTGTCCATACACTGCCATAATGATTTCTCCCTTTTAGAACAAAACTGGGGAAGATTTCAGCAGAGGGAGGTTTGTAAAACTGAGGAATTCTGCACATAACACAGCCAGCTAAAGACTTAGGTTCCTCTAGTGCCTGCTGAGTTAATAGGGTCTCTAAGAGCACAGTCTCCAGCCTGCAGAGGGCATACAGCTCCTCAGTTTTCCCTGCCAAAATGTTTGTGGAATAGGGAGAAGCTGTTGGAGCATACATCAATGTATTCTTGCAGGCACATTGCTTCACTTGGTGGATCAAGGATCTCTCCAGTAATGTGAGGTTACCAAAAGTGTAATTTCAGTGGAAGAAATTGGACTCTTCCCAAGCATCCACATATCCATCCAGCAAAGTAAATAGATACTTTACATAAGGAACACTGAAGCCTCTCCAGGACATGTGTCCAGCAGGAACGTGCTGTAGGTACTCGTGCTTCTTAAAAATCATCTGTTTTCATTTGTGTCTCCATTTCCAGAGCTCCCAACACAGTGGCTCCTCTACCTCATTAGCATCCACCAAAGTTTGCAGCTCTATGGATGAAAATGATGGCCCTGCAGAAGGTAACATTTGGAGCTAACATTTCAAAGCAGTCAGTGTAGTGATAACAGCAGCTGTGTAGGAAGTGAGTCATTCTTCCTGACAGAGAAGGTGGGAGCATTGTAGGCTGGATGATTTTCTGTGAGGAAGCTCCTCAGCCTTAGCAAACCAGTTAGGTTCACTCTGGATCAGAGTTGATCTGGACATCACTGTTCAGAGATATTTTTATTTTGGAACACTTGAGTTTTTATTTCTGCAAGCAACACAATGCTGACTGGCTTATTTCAGTATTTTTGTCTCATCTGCCATGGTACTAAAGAACACACTGCAGTCCTGGGCCTTTACTCAGAAATGGATAGTCCTACTCCCTGCTAAGGCTTTGAGCAAGTTGGCTAAGGGACAAGGTCTGCTTGAGAACTGCCAGCTCACATACACATCTATGTACATGTGTGTGTATCTGTGCTCCTGTTGGAGAATAACTCTTCATGCTGTCTGTGAATTCAGACAAACCCCAGCCTCCTTGTGTCCTAGCATTCCTAGCATTCACTTTTAATACTCAACTGGAACAAAGGACAGAGTAATACACAGTTAAATGCACTGTCTTAAAGAGTGTAAACACAAATCACATTTCTGAGAGGCTATTTTTTTTACATTACAATATTTATATAGTAGTTTGTATCAGCTGCAGTTTACAGTCAGCTTTTAGAGGCATGTTAGTTATTTGTAACACTATTTCAAATATGTTTAAAAATAATAGTACAGGAATGAGCATTAAAACACATTAAACTACAAGCTTTTCCTATGCTTAGACACTGTGTAATGCAATTTTACCTAAACATCTGGTACCCAGGTTGCATGCGAGGTAGTATTATTGAGAACATTTGTTTAAAAACTAAATATTTGATATTGGGGGATGGGGAGGACTAGCACTTAGCACATGAGGAGTTTTATGGATGTCTCAGTTTACAGGATGTAATAAAATAAGTGCTTGAGTGTTGGACTTCTTTGGTACATATATTTAATCATGCTGTGTCAAGGAGTTCCAGCCCTTTTTGGAGGCTGGTCTGCGCTTGTGCAGATCACAGAGGCCTTTTCGTAATTAAAAAAATACAATTTTGGTTATGTCTTGGGGGCATATTGCAATGGCATCTATATAACACTCAAATGGTGGTATGTTTGAGCCCCCAGAAGTCTTATTTTTCATTATTGTATCTGCATGAAACCTGTTGAGTACAATGTCAGCGGCATGGTTTCACTGTACAGTAAGTGAGATACTGACTGAATGGTTTCCAGGCTCCTAAACCGAGGACTTAAAATGCATGTTATGTGCAACATCTGTGTTTCCTTCACTAACAATAAAAATGTACTAATGATTCTTTCAGAAGTGTTGGAGGAAGGTTTCCAGGTTCCAGCGTCAATAGCAGAGCGATATAAAGTTGGAAGAACTATAGGAGACGGAAATTTTGCTATTGTGAAGGAGTGTATAGAAAGGTGAGGAGGATAATATGCTTATTACTGTAAAAAACAATTTAAATATTAATGTCATGCTTTCTCCAGATCGTATCTTTATTTGTAGAATACAGAAATGTAATAAAGTAATGTTTCAATGCCAGATGGAAAAACTAATGTCCTCTCAAATTAAAAAATGAGTGAGTTCAAGGGGCAATCTATGAATTTTTTTCTTCATGGGGTTTATATGGGTTTTTTCTGCTACACTCCACGTGATGTTACCATTTCCTTCTGTTAAATCTCTCTTGTTGCACTGAAATAACATCTTTTCTTGCAGTATGTTCTTGCAATGCTCCTTTTACATTAGACCAGTGGAACATTTCACATACAGCAGCACTCTGTAAAGATGTCAGGAAGTTCTCTGTTTGGGGTGCAGTGGTAATGGTCAGCACAAAGAGGTAATTTTGGATCAAACTACTCTGCCATCTGACACTGAGGTGTAGTCTCTTTCTTATTTATTTTTAATTTAATGGACATCTAACTCCTGCTTGCCTGCTTTGTGCCGTTATATTTGCTCGTTCCAACTTTATGAGCCTCACTGCAGACACCGAAATCTAACTTCTTCAGTGACCTTTACTGTTAAGAGGTGAAAACAGTCTTTGATTTTAGACATCTACTCCAGATTGGAGAAGTCACAAGTCACCTCAGTTTTCAGTGTTGCTGAAAATGTCCAGCATGAAAATTCATGTGTCTGTTTCTAAATCTGTTCAGGCTTGAACCTGCTCTACCCAACCTTAAGAGTATAAAAAATATGGAACCAAGGAGGAATGCTCTAAGCAGAACTGTGGTTGCCATTTAGTGGTATTGTTAAAAATAAGAGACTACGGGATATAAAAGACAGAAGGTAGTTCACCTATATGTGAAACAACTGTAGGATTGCTCATGTTAGTAGCAGTGCAGACAAACAAAAAACTGCCAGATCTGGAGTGTCCAAAAGAGAGAGCAATAGAGATGTCAAGGTTTGAGAATGAAATTTCATCAGTTAAGTTTTCTATCCACTATTACCATATCCTGAAGAGAAGACTCTTAGAGAGGACTATAATTTCACCTTTGGGCTCAAACAAAAAACAGCTCTTTAGCCTGTAAAAATATGATGTAAACCCTGGAGAGTGAGATTAAATCTCCTGACAGACAATGATAAATTAGCTTGGCTGGTTTTAAACTAGTCCCCTTGGAAAAATATGGGTCTACCTCTGCATCCAAAAGTGCAACTTGGAGATCATGAAGACAGCTGTTGGGGAAAAGGGTGAGAGTAGATTTTGTATCAGCTGACAGTGTGCTTGTGGGACTTGGCCAAAGTTCTGGTGAGGCCTTTAGTATTCTGCCAGAGTGAGTTCTTGGTGGAGCTGGTCATCCAGAGGACAGTAGCTGTTCAGATCAAACCTCAGGTTCTGAGCACTAAACTGTATGGAAACCTAAAGGAAGCAAAGCAAAAAAATATGAGAGAGAGGAAGCACTGAAATACCCTATGGAGGGGCATGACTAATTAAAGAAATGGGTGAAAACACCCATTTTCACCCAAAATCCCTTTCTAAGAAAAGAGAAAAAGGCAGCTAAAGGTAAAGTGAATAGTGATTGGGAAAAGCAGATTAGAAGGTAAAATAATGAGAACTTGTGGTTTTAATAAACTCATTCAGCTGAAAATGCAATTTGTGCTGCTCAGAGACAGTACAAATGTACTAGTGTGCATGTCACAATTATTTCCCAAATGGAGAGAAAACACATGAACAAAATTAAATATAGGTCCCATCACACCTAAAAATAATGCTGATTACAATATCCTGGAGAACTTGAATGAAAACTGTTTCCTGTCCTCTTGTCTATCCCACAGGTCCCAGCAGTATCCAGTAACATGGTGTGTCTAATGTACTCAAATAGCATTTTTACCCAGGTATTCCCAGATATATAGTCTTGTGGTCTCTGAGCTATACCGTTCCATAGATCCCATTTCTATCAGAGAGCTACCACTTTGGGAGATTTTGAAAATTGAAGTGGAATTGTTTCTGTTAGTTTATACTTCTAAAGCAGTATATCCTTGCCATCACAGGTGTGGAAGGAGAAATTAAAGATTCGGAGGGTAAATTATACCAGTACCTGTGAAACACCTTCAAAAATATTATTTTCAGTCTTTTTTTTAAGCATCTCTAACCACCTCACTTCAAAGTCTGATATGTCCATCATTTGCAGAGCCAGAATTAATGGGGTGATACTTGGGACAGAGAACTTTTCCATTTCCTTGTGAAGTATAATTCCTGTGTGCATTACACTTCAAAGGAATAGCACCATAAGGTGTTAAACAAGTAGGAATGGGTCTTGCTACACTGATCACATGAATACTCCTTCTCCACTGCTGTGAGATCAGTCTGTGAGCACTTCAATACATTCACAGGAGTTTTCCTCTGACAATGAACAGTCTAAATAGAAACCAAAAACCATCTCCAAAATTTTCACATGTGGACTTCTAAATCCCATTTTGAGCATCTGTGAAGGCGCAGGGACACACTCTTAAATACATTTAATGCATGCAAAAATACAACAAAGATAGATTTTTGTCTCCAGTGCAGTCTAAATCTCCATGAAGTTTGCAACAGTTTAAAGAGCCAGGGAACATGGCACCCAGCCCTGTTATGAGCTAGAAGTCAACTCTGTGGTAGTGCAGTGGGTCCAGACTCCTGTCCAGCCACAACATGTTGCCTTCTTTTTGTGGTCCCTTTTTATTGTTTAGGTGAGAGGTGAGATGCCTGTTTCATGGTGACTTTCTGACATGGCCATGCAAATTTTTTGTGGTGTGTAAGTTGCTGTGCTGCTGACAGGCCACGGTTCTGCAGCTTTTCAGGGGAAAGGATTTACATTATCTTAGCTTTAATTGTCTTTTTACCAAAACAAAGAGCAGTCAGAGTTGTCATCTGCTTGTTACATATCTGCTCCATCGTACGCACAATTTGTCCTGCGGTGTTTTTATATGTGTTCATTTTTAACTTTCAGATACTTTCAAATGCTGACATTTCCTCACTAGCTCAGATTTCCCAATGTCTTGGAGTACGTGGAGTCTCCCATGGCCAACAAAAACCATCAATTTCCTTTCTCATGACAGAAAGGAAGCATTCCTAGGGCAACCAAGCAGCTTGAAAGAGACTACTCTTGAAAGAGGCTATATTTTGTCTCAGTTTGAACCCCAGATATCTTAATTTCTAATATTTCTTGTTCAACCTTCTCCTTCTAGTCCCAAAAGTAGTGTCCAAATCTCTTCCTGTCCCCTCACTGAGCTTGGACTCTAGCCACTGCAGCACTGGAGAGGGGCACCCCACATGGAGTACAGCCCATTTTGGGGGACTGTAGCACTAAACCCCTGTGTGGGGGAGTACAGATAGGAGAAGTTTTTATTTGTGTAAATCTTGAACAGATATGCTGTAATTTTTCCCCCAATTCATAAACTTTCTTATCTTGTGTGACTTCTTTTAATTAATGTCCTAATAGAGGCAGTTTTAGCTCTTTGCCAGGAAACATAAACAGAATGAATATTTTGGTGGTATTTTTGCTTTTTACTGAATTATCCATTTTTCCTTAAATTGAAAATTAGTGGTACATCATTGCCAGAGGAGTCCTCCATGTTTTAATATGGAAATGAAAATGCCCAGTTGCTTTCCAGATACAGTGCTGCAGTGTATTACTTACTTTGCATGTCCTGTTTGACAGACTGAGCACACTTTTAGACACATTAATGTCTCTGTTGAACATACTCTGTATCAGTTTAATGTATCAGTTTAACTACTGTCATTTGTGAAATGAGGAATGAAAAAAATGACCCTGTATTGAAAGGTTATTTTTTTTCTTAATTTTTAACCAAACACACCTAAAGGCAATGTAATAGACATTTGTAACCTGTTTAGGTTCATATTACAAAATGAAAATATTTCAGTAAGATCTTTTTCTTAAATGATCCCTTTTCCATTTCATCTTATAGGGAAACTGGGGCTTGTAGGCAGAGCTTCTTGTTTTCATTCTTACGGCCGTCTTTTGGTTTTGTAACTTAATTAAGAAGTGGAAGTTGATACTGTTAACTTGTTCACAAGCTAATTTGTCTCTGTTAGTATTCTAGATAATAGATAACTACATACATGTAGTAGTGATAAATAATATAACGATTCAAAACAACACAGTAGTTAAAAGGAAATGCGTTTTCATCCTGAACTAATTTCTCTTACTGTCTCCAGAACCTTCCACATTCTGCCTAAAAGCCAACATATTTCACTCTGCTAAATATCCTATAATTACTGAATACATAAAAATTATTCCAAGGACTGACCTTTTATCATAACAGGTGTGACTGCAGATATGCAAAGAAATTGCTTTCCATTTTAAGTAAAAAATAAGTAAGTATTTTCTGTGGGCTATATTTTTTGTAGGATAGAAAACAAAAGTTCTTTGTTTTGAAAATATTTGAACCTGTGAACACCGCATGGTATTTTTACATAAAAATGACAAAGTAATAACAATTTTCATTAAAAATGGAAGAAAAAGTCAAGCATTTTTTTTTATTTTGAAAACACTGAAATGCTCTCATCTTAAAGCAAAAAAGTTATGTCTTTTTCTCACGCATGCATATTTAATAACTTTGGCTGAATTTCTCAACACTAGTCAAATCTAAGCTTTGTTTCTTTAAAAAAAAGAATATTCTACTAGAACTCTTCATTACACTTATTATATTGATATAACAAATATAAACTCAACTGAGAAAAATATTCAATGTGATTAAGCATACAATTTTTTTCTCTTTTCTCAGATCAACTGGTAGAGAATATGCTCTGAAAATAATCAAGAAAAGTAAATGTAGAGGAAAAGTAAGTACAAAAAAAATATGAGACAAAAAGATTTTTTTCCAAGAAATTTTTTGTGAGAGGTCATTTTGAGAAGCTGTTGGCATTTGTGTCCTTCCTGACAAGTATTAAAATCTCTTTGGTTGAAGTCTTTGCCTACCCGCTGGAGACTCTTGGAGTTTCAGGAGAAAAGGCAGTCATGTGCTGTTCTAGACCTGTGTGATGAATATCCAGTGTTTTCTTTTATCCATGTAACTATGTCTTCTAATTTTCATAATTCCAGGTGTTATAGAAAGCAGAAAATAACACAAATAATTATAACAAAACTGGTCACTGTCTGTAAGGCATAGGTTAATTAAATTGATGTCAATTTTACTCCAAGTTACTGTTAGCTTTTAAAATCAGTAACAAAAGGTTCTGTGAGAAGAGGCAATCATGTTGTTAAATCTAAAGATTCTGCATCAGAGAAAATTTAAAAAGCTTTCATTTTTCTCGGCACCAGAAGCACATCTTTTCTTCCATTTGTTTTTCTGTGTTCCGCTCTCTCTTCTTTCAGTTACCACACTCATGTTTCCAAACGTGTTCCTTCCCTGTTGCTGGAGGCAACATCTGTTAGTTTTTTCAAAAACCCCAGAGAATCTGTGCAGCTCTCAATTCTCTCTGCTTTTTCCACTGTGAATTTTTTTCCCCACTAACCCATATTCATTGAAAATTTTTTGTGTGTCAGGAACACATGATCCAGAATGAGGTATCTATTTTAAGACGAGTCAAGCATCCCAATATTGTACTTCTGATCGAGGAGATGGACATGCCAACTGAGTTGTACCTTGTCATGGAACTTGTAAAGGTGAGTGTTTGGAGTCAAGCTGCTTATCGAATCAACCATATTGAAAAATTCCATTCCTACTTAGGCTTACTAAAAAACATGGGATCACAGAATAATGTAGAATGGAAGAAATCTCTGAAAGTGGTCTTGCATCCTACTGAAAGATATATAACCCACTGTCAGATTTTTTTTTAATCAGCTTTCAAATATTTCAAATATTTGTCTAACTTCCCGTAAGCCACACTTGGAAATGCTCTGTTGACTGTATACCACCAGTTTTGTTTGCTTCCTCAAGAGGAAACTCGTTAAAAATTTATAATCTGCCTTGAGGTGAATTGAAAATATACCTAGTCCAAATAGCCATAAATACCAGCCTTCAAAATACAAAAAGGTGAAAGGATTTCATTAGTTTTTATTAATTTACATTAAATCTAAACAATATTAAATATGTTTTTTCTCTATTGATTTATATTAACACAGTGTCAAACTTGCCTCCCCAATAGCAATCTAAATGTAAACGGAAGGAAGGGGAAAGTGAAAAAGAAAAGCCTGCTGTTAAAAACATGGTTCTAGTCTAAAAAGTAAATTTGTGAATGCAGTGGTTTATATTTTGGATGCTATTTCTTCACAGTGACTTAGAGAAAGCGCTTTTTGGCAAACAGGATTGTTGATCTGCTTTGCTCTGGTGTAGGTGGAGGTGAGAAGGTGCTCTTAATGTCCCTATTACACCTCATTGAGATATTAAATAGGGCAATCCCAGGTCCAAGTGTTTCTTAAATACCCTTTCAGTCTCTGGTCTGGAATACAAGAGCAAGTAGAATGACAAGGTTTTTTTGGTTTGTTCCATTATCCCCCATGCTCTGTGGCAGAACCAGTGACACAAGCCATGTTCCCAGTCCAGAGCTGGAAGGCTCTGTGTGCCTCATGGGTGGATGCCCACAGATTTTCCCTGTCCTCGTGGCAGTCTGGGAAAGAAAGTCTTGTCCTCGTAGGTCTGTGCCTGACAGATGCCCTATTTGGATTGAGTAGTGCTGTGGAGCTTATGGTCCCCCTAACCCCACTGTCCACCACCTCCAAGCTCTGAGGAAGCACATTAGGAGATGCTGGTACTAAGGACCTGACATATTTTCTCTGCTGAAAAAGTTAAATCCCAAGACAAAAAAAATACTGGCAATCTTCCATGCCATGAATCCTTTTGTGTTACCAGTCCCAGAATAATTTCCCCACTCCCTTTACAATCTCAGCCCTCTCTCACTTTTAGGCATGCAATGTGAAATAGCACAGCTTGAGATCAGATACCATTAGCCATCTAGCACTATTTTAATCATAATTACTTCTCTATTTTATTCTATTCTATTCTAAGTGAGCTCACTATGAGATCCATGCTACTGTCGGTTTTCCTCAGTGTCTGCGAGAGCTTGTTCAAAGGTACCTCAATCCCCTTGCACAGCACTGTAATCACATGTAGCCACAGCTTTTAGCCTGCATTGACAAATCCTTCATCTTGGCCCCATGAGGTGTGCTAAGAACTAAAAGCTGTGCCTTGTCTAACCTGCGAAGATGTAAGCACAGAGCTGGTTTTATGGGTGAAACCTGCTGTGCTATTCATGACTGAAAAATGTGTAAACTCTAGTGTCCAATGGATTTTTAATTGAAGTCCTTCTCAGCTAAATGAGAGAGGAGGGGACCAAAAACTCCTAGAAAATAATTTAGAAAATAAGCCTTAAAGATCTATATTAAAAAACATGCATTGTGTTCATTTTCAGGAGAAATGTCATTTTTTGTGCTCTTTCTTCTTTACCCTTTAAGATTGCTGCACATATTCTTTTAGCTGTATTATGGAAGGGCACTATAGGAATCTCTGTACTTCTCATATCCTAGAGAGCACTAATTGTCTTTACTTTTATGTAGAATAATAGAAGAAATGTAGAGGAAATAACCTTATTCAGGGAAGTCAACTTTGTTTCTCTGATGCAAACATCTATTCCTTAATATATAGTTGGAAGAAAAGCCTTGTTGCACTCTCCGGGTACTAGGGAAGGCATTTCTGGAGAGACATTAATTGTTAATTCACCAATTGCTGACTGTTACCATTTCATAGTGTGCACTGTTAGAATTGATTAACCATCTGTTATTGACTGACTTTTGAAGACCTGACATTAAATCAAACTCAGAGACAGGAAAGAGAGGCAAGGAGGAAAGGCTTGATAGTGCAGAGCCCGGTTTCAGTTAATACCACCCTGCATTAATTGGCAGTAACATGTTTGACATAAGTGACTGCTGCAAATCCCGCCCTCACCTCATGGCAGATAGGCCATTCATTGCTTTGTAAAGTGTAAGAAAAAGCACTTCATAAATACAAATATAAACACATTGCAAGTGGTGCTTGTAAAAGGAAGCAAAGACCTGGCTTCTGGCACATTGCCTTTTTACACAGCGAAACAAAATTATTATTCAAACCTAACAGGGGTTTGGCCAATTTAAGAAGCAAGATTTATTGCTGAGTTTCCTTTACTGCTCCAGGATATGATTTCACTTTTGCAGAAGAAAAAGAGAGATCATATCATTTACATAACAAGGTAATAAATAAATAATTGGTTACTGTAGTTCCAAATACACTTCCTCATGTGCACAGATGATAAAAACTGCATTCAGATGTTGCTGGTCCTGTTTCACTCCAGAACAGGGGATTTAAGACTGAAATGTCATCCTGAACTCACCCCTGGTGCCTGAATAAATGATAGTGACCTGCTGTGTGAATCGGCTTAGCAGAACCTTGCAGGTTAAAGTGCTCTTTGGGGAGAGGAAAGTCTGAAAGCAATTCTGCCTGATATAGCTGTCAGCTCTGTTAACTCTTTCCAGGATATCACCTCTCCTTTAACCGCAGAGAATCCCACAGACTAAATATATGCTCTCTTTTCTTAGCAGGATACCTGGTAAGAAACTTTACCGACTACAGTAGATGCTTAAATGGAGAAAATGATTCTGCTTCAAATTGGCTTGGCTGTTAAATTGCTCTGCAGCCTCTATATTTTTCTGAGTTTAAGTTTCTCTTGTGCATGAAGATTTGTTCCTTTTCTTCTGACTTCAAGCCAAAATTTTTCCTTCTTTTTAAGGCTCAGCTTCTTTCATTCTTGCTCCTCATAGCTCAGACTATTTTCTTTGTTTGGAGGCAGATGCTTTGCCGATGTTATTGACACTTCTTCTGAGCATCTGGAACATATTAGATAAGACCAAAGATCTGTCTAATCCACTGCCTCATGTTAAAAAGCAGCTGGTACAGGGGTTTCACAGGAAGGAGCTTAGGGAAGATAGATTATTTATCTCACATACTTTGCCACATGCTGATATCTAATACTTAGGGATCAGATAATGCCATGAAGTACATGGTATTGTACTTTTGCCAAATATTTGGCCTCTTTCTCTCTAATCCTCTATCTGGTTTAGCTTGGCCTTTTGTTCTTCCTTTTCCTTGACGCTATGTATCTTGATGTGTCTTGAACAGTCACCAGCCAGGGCAAGAAATTTGATGTGGTCCAGATTTAACAATTTTTGGCTGTAAGCAATTTCCAAAGAGCTGGGATTTTGTATCTACAATGGGAATAAACCTGCCCTGGCATACTTCAGCTGCACCTCAACAATGCAAAAATTTTAATAGATTGTTTGTTTTTTATAACAAGTAAAGTATGTTTTACCAGGTTTGAGTCTTTGGTGGTTCCCTTTTCCTACTCTTTTCTCTGTAACCATGATTCCTGGAAATTTTTTTTTTTTTTTCTTTCCCCTCCCTCATCGTTTCTCTGGAAAGTGGAAAACGTGTTTACACTGGAGTTGAGCCTTAAAAAAAACCAGAAAATATCTTGAAGCTGTTGATAAAACTATGAGAGCTGGCAAAGCTGGGACTCCTCTGTTGCCTTCAGAAAATACCCACTTTTTCTTTTAAATACAGTCCTCTGTGATTTTTTTTCTTGATGTTTTGACAGCAGCAGGAAATTTTTGCATTGCTTTTGCACTTATCTTTTTTTTTTTCTGTTTTTTTTTCTCTTGTTGGATTGTGTTTTCTTTGTGATGCTCCTTTGACTTTGGCCAAAGGCTCAATACCTCTGAGTAGAATCTCCCAAAAGATCACTGTTTTTTCCTCCAATCTGTCAAGCTCCCTTCTTAATCTCATCTTTAAAATTACTCTTCCATCTTCATCCAAGCACTTCCACGTTCCCTCTCCCCACTTACCAGCTCACCTCTGGAAATACAGTCATGGCTGCCTCAGACACTGGTGAAGATCATTTCAACTTTGAGGACTTCCACTTAGTTTTTCCTTGTTTTCTTCTTTCCTTCATTCTCTCTTGTTTTCTTTCTTTTCTTTCACTGACAGCAGCTTTCAGCTGAATTAGCATGATGAGCTGAGAATGGCACAAGCAGCCACCTGTGTCTACTAGTATGATTGCCTGACATACATGCTGTAAAGTTCTTCAGTATTAACTGCAAGAGGCATCACACTACCAAAAAATTCATGTCTTGTGTAGAGAAAGTGGTTTCTAAAATCCATGTTTGTAAAGCTTTATGAGATGGAAACAGACTTTTAAAATATGATAGCAGTGAGAATAGATAACTTTGAGTTCTGAGTTTTACTGAGAGTTCCTTCATCTTTCTGGGGTTCAGTTAGGCATAGGGCAAATTTTGATGTTAATCTGTTTGTGACTATTATAAAGTGTGCCAAGGGTTGGTAGATGGCACTGTGATAGACAAATATGTACTCTTGCCAGACATTTGTAGCAGGCTCTGGACATTCAGATTGGGAAGTGCTGGACATGTTAAGAAAGCAGCAGCAAGTGGGAATGATTTGCAGTAGAAACTCCAGTTTCTTGTCTGACCAATTCAGCCATGACCAATGGTTTTGAGTTATTGGTCTGTTTACCTGCCATTATGGGAGTTGTTATCACAGTACCCATAGTTTATAGCTGCAAGGAAACTGTGCTGCTCCCTTCCCCTCCTCCTCCTCCTTCTGTAAAAATGTTCCTTGATCTTCCCTAAATTTTTCAGTCATTTCACAAGCAATGTTGTTCATATCCCATGGTAATTTTGCTCCAGGGAGGAGATCTCTTTGATGCTATTACTTCCACCAACAAATACACAGAGCGGGATGCCAGTGGAATGCTTTACAATCTGGCCAGTGCCATCAAATACCTTCACAGCCTGAACATTGTCCACAGGGATATCAAGCCGGAGAATCTACTGGTAAGTGGAGATTCATCTTTCAGTATTGCTGATAACTTTGGAGTGTGTGAGAAAAGGTCTGCACTTCCTCCTTCCACATGCCTGCCAAGTTTATTTCAGTCTTTTAAGTCACTGATCTTTTAATTTTAACCTTTGCATTGTAAAGCTCTCCTAAGAATAACAGCTGTCCCAAGAGGTACAGTAACATTAGGTGGTATGTCTAGATTGTTCCATGGAACACAACAGCTGAGTAATTTCTGGGATCACTAGAAGTAAACTTGTAGTAAACTGCAGGAAGATTTCAAGCTTCTTATAAATATGTGTTCTGTCCTCAGCAGACTATTCTGTACTTCTGTCACTGCCTAAATAATTATCAACCCTTTAGTTTTACAAGCGTGGTGCATGTAAATGCTGTGTCCTAATCAGGTCACACATCAGAGCAGAACCAGGAAGAGACTTCATTGTCCTTCCCCTACTACATCTCCAAATAATCCTACAGCACTTTTTATTAAGCCACTTTCACAAACAGACAATCTAAATCTTTGTTTTTCTGACAAAATCTATATGAGCCTTATCCACTGAAGACAATGAAAAACATACCCTGGCAACTATTCTTCTGAGAATTTTGCACACTTGAATGCAACAGTTGCATCCCCCTCATTATTTTATTTCTCCTGAGAAATTAGCTTCTCCTGATTATTTCAGTGTTCTGAGTTTTCACAAATTTGCTGACATGTTCCAATATCAGGATGTCCCAATTCTCCATATATTCTGCAACTGTAAAACAATGTAGAATCATAGAGTATCAGTTCTCTCAGCTGTGTACTCTCAGCCATGACTTAATGCATTTAGTCCTGCTTGACAATGAAGAGTTTTTATGGGAAAGCTGACTTTAGCAGATATTGCTAAACTTCCAGGCAGTGGGATTTTTACAGCTGAAGTTCCTTTAGTGGCAGGTTCTGGGTGAGGAAGAAGTGACCTGCCCTCATTTTCCAGAAACTGCTGAAAACACACTGGGTGGAAGTTTCACTAGACATTAATGACTGATACACCTTTCTTGGCCCTTTTGCTCCATTTTATTTTCTGGTGTTGGTGTTGATAGGAGACTGTATGCAGATGTTGTAGCAATCCCATGCCAGAATTCATTAATGCTGCTCCTGGAGTGTGCAGGAGGGTCTTGGTCTGGGACAAGCCTTGCTCTGCTGCTGTCTTGACTTGTCTGTAAATGCCTAAACTCTGTTGTCAGAGTTAAAATTCTGGGGGAAAAGAGGTGGTCAGGAGGTATGGGTAGGAGGTGAGGGCAGCAGGCAGGGATTAGATTTACCTGCTCAGCTTTTCTGGTAATTACCCACTAATGATCACATTGTTCCCATTGTAGCTGAATTATGTCTGAGTAACTTTTCCAGAACTGTGCATTGGTTTTGAGACTGAGCTGTAAGGATGCATCATTTAACCTCTTGCAGCATCCTAATCCTCAAAAGCCAGCATTTGATTCACAAATTGCATTGATTCTCTAAGTTTTATGAGGTCCTTGAAAGAAACAAGCGCTGTTTTAGAAGAGGGCTTTGGAACCAGCCTTACCTGAGCTCTGATCCTGGTTCTGACATTGGCTGCCTGTGGCCTCAGTGTGTCTGAACCTTTCTGCTTTTATCTTAGCTGTCAAATGGGATGTGTGGCTCCTTGGGTCACAAAATTGCAACTAGCATTATTTTCAGGCATTTACAAAACACTTGAAAAATGCTACAGGGGTCTCAGCATTTCTTTTGCCAAATACCTTCTACTTGCCTTTTGTAGCCTGCCCTTTTCCTTGCAGCTCTTTAACCCTTCACCTAAGTGGTCATGGAGGTATTTTTCCCTTGTTGTTCTTGTGCTGTGGCTTTCCCTCTGATACTGTCACAGTGCTGCACATGCAAACCCTGGTTGTGTTATTGCTGGTTCTCCTGGCCACTAGTTTGAGAATCAACCCTTCTCCCCCACCCTTTTCGTACTCATGGATTGTAACTTTACAGTTTAGAGGAGCATGTCCTGAGTCTAAACAACCTCATTAGCAGGAAAAAAGACAACAGGGAGGATGAGCAAGGCTGTAGAGTTGCTAAAGGAGACCAAGGGGAAGTGAAGGGGAACATGCTGCTCTGGAGAAGGAGACCAGAAGAGGATGTTCACCTGGAGCTGCTTTATTTCATCTCTTCCCAGCCCCTAGTAGAACCTTTACTTTCACCTCCTCCTTTATCTCTTTTAATTTTTCCTTCTTCCCAAAAGTAACTTTCAGGCTTAGAGCTGATGTGTGAGACCAGGTCTAGGTCCTGCTAATAAATCTTTGTGTGTGTGAACCTGTCCTGTGTGCAGCACCCATTATTTTTTAACTGCTTAAATATTCCATATTATCCTCAGGGCATATAAAGTCCATCTAAGAGTCAACTGTCCAAGAGTTTAGGGTGTGCTGAATACCTGTGATGTTTTAGCATTTTTGTTTGTTTTTTTATTCTCTAGGGAGTCTTCCATGTTTTAATTGGAACATTTTTCATAATTGTTGCTATTTAGAACGTTTATTTTGTCAAGTCATGGGATGTCTTTATAGCCATATAATAAACCCTAGAGAACAACTTCTCTGACTGCTGCCATCTGCACTGATCACAAGAGCAGCTTAGAAAATACTGACAGTCTTTATACTAATAGGATACATATGGTGGCATACAATTATGTGTGGCTGCATTCAATTAGCATAGTACAATTACACAGTTTTATAGCTTAGTTAAAACAGTGATAGCTCTACGAAGCGGGTAATTTGCACTAATCCCCATTTCTTTAATTGCCCTTCAGTATTTAAATGCAGGAACATATATAGTATTTATTCAGAATAGCATGAGCATTAAATTATTTTTCCCATTCCTTGACTGGCAAGTAACATACCACAGCTTCACATTGGGCTCTTTTTTATATGAAGTTATAAGAGGGTGTGGAAAAGTTACTTTCTTCATTTTTACAAGTCAACTGAAGTAATTTTCCAAGAAAAGTAATTCCTCGAAACAGATGAAGCAGAATAATAGAAAATGCACTGTACCAAACCTTCTGCATTGGTAAATATTGCCAAACAAACCTCTTCTGTAATTAATTTCTAGTATGGATGAGTCCCACAAGGTGTGGTCTATTGAAGGAAGGAATTTACAAATGTTTGCTAGGTTAGCACAGCTCGGAGAAGGCTGTGTAGAAAGATAACTGCATGAAACAGAATATGAAATACTAATTAGGCCAGATTCAGCTCTTCATGTCTAAGTGCACACTTTCCATATTTCAGCAAGTGAATATTTAAAGCCCTAGTCTCTAGACTTTAATTAAAACTGTTGTTGAAATTAGATTTATTACTGCCATTTCAGAGAGCACTTTCTTTAGTTTCAGGAACCAGATGTATTTAACAATCTGTGTTTTGAATAAAACCATAATTGCCTTTTTTTCCCAGTGCTTTTCTATAAACATAACTTTTTTCTGGCTTAGTAGAAATGTGAATCCATTATAAATTGCTGGTCCTCTTAAAGATCCAGTTGAATTCTTAAAAATAACATAAGGAGAGGAGAAGAATTTTGTGTACTCTGAATGTCTGCTTGTGGCTGTATCACCTGGTAAGCAGGGACTCAGGACAGAGAGGGGTTTTCTCTCTAGACATGACTAACATTAACAAATAAGAAACTGGGGGATGGGGGCTGTATAATACAACTAATTAGTATGAGCTATAGCAGATCTGTAGGAAACTGTGGTGAGAGACTTCAAGAATTTGCTTTTGCTCCAAGAAACCTATTCAAGGGTCCCATGTAGAATTTATTGTATTTTTGTAAGAAAAAAAAGCTAGGATTTTATTCTTAAAACCATAGGTAAATTTGATTTTGGATGTAGGAGTAGCTGGTCAAGATATATATATATATATTTTTTTTTTTTTTATTTTTTTTTTTAAGGATTCTTTTGGTTTTGATTAGGAAGCATGACACCTACTATTTTTGCACAGTTTTGGTGCAGATTGTTTACATGATATCACTAGTGGTGATCCAGACTGCATAGAACTTTGATTTGGCTTGCAAAATAAGAAAGTGATGCATATACATTATAAGAAGGTCTCCTATAGACTCTTTCCATTTTTTAAGGTGCTATTGTAGAAAACATTCCAAAATGGCAAGCAAGGACTCAAACCAGCACTTTGATTAAAGATAGACTTACAGTCTAGTGTTTAATTCGATACATTTTTATATTTTTTATTTTAAACATTTTTTACTGGATCTAATTTTAAAGGCACAGGACTTATTATCTGGCATAAGCAGATGGTGGGGGATACAATACAGCATCATAAAAACACCTCAGTTTTCAGTGTTTGCAGATTTGAGGCTCTTCTTTTGCTCTGAGCCATCTTTTAAAATTATAGTTGTTTTACTGATGTTTCTAGTTTGTCTTTTTTTTTCATGTGACTACATCTTAATCTCTCTTTGCACTCATAAAACCCCACGAAAGATCACGCTGCCACTGTGAAGACCAGGTTTTAAGACAGGATTTTCACATATCCCCATTAGCAGCCCTAACTGCTTGTGTCCCCTTGATGCTGACGCTACCGTGCCAGTAAGAAACTCATTGGTGTGTAAGAGTCATCCAAGGAGAGGAGAGCACTTCTAGGTGAAATACTGCAGCCAGATTTGTGTCTTGTGGCTTCAGCACACAGAGAAGAGCCTGGAACTGCTGTCAGTACAGTCACTTTTCTATTACCTAAGTAGCTGAAGTTCCTCTGCAAACCTTTAATCTCTCTGCAAGTAAAATGAATAAACTCAACCCGCCTACGCTGTGAATTCAGTAGGGAGCTGATGTAGGAAAGCCACTGCTGGAAGGTCACGCATTTGCTTCTGGGCTTTAGCACCTAGCAAGTGGCACATCTTTTGTTGGACAGTTAGCAAGATAAGTCTTTCCCAAACATCCTGACTGTATTCAAGGGAAGTTGTCCAAATTGTCTGTGAATTTTCAAAGCATGAAGAGAAATATGTTAAAGGTAAGGAGGAGGAAAAAAATCTGTAAATAAGAAGGAACACTTCAGGCAGTTAGCAAGTGATTATAGTAGTTGCCTTGATGGTTTTGTGGTAAAACTTTCAATTTTCCTCCTGATTTAGGTTTATGAACACCAAGATGGAAGCAAGTCCCTGAAGCTGGGAGACTTTGGCCTAGCAACAATTGTGGATGGACCTCTATATACTGTCTGTGGGACCCCAACATATGTAGCTCCAGAAATCATCGCTGAAACTGGGTAAATCCCTTGTAGTGGTGATCCATTGATGTGTACTCAGAAGGGCACATTCTTATCATTGTGCCAGACTGGAGCTCTTGCAATTAAGATTTTTATGCTGCCTTTGGTTGGCTATGATGCAGAATCATCGCTCATAGAACAATTCATGTGGAAGGGACCTCTGGAGGTGATCTTACCCAAACCAGTTCAGAGCAGGCTGTTTTTGAGTTATATTGGTCAACCTCTGCCAGTTGTTAGCCTCAAACTTTTTAGCTTAACACTGAGTCATTAACTAGCCATTTGCAGATACAGTGGAAGTAATTCTATTCTCTAGAGACTGCTAACTATCATTCACTTAATTCTATTTTGTTATTTCACACTATCCTCCTCTGATTTGTTCCACAGAGCAAATGCCTGCTGGCTTGAGCAGTCTGTGTCACCTTTGCAGACTTCATGTTGACAGGCATCACTAACTCAAGTAAACTCAACTTGAATTAGTTAACTAACTGAAGAATACAGCCCAATGTCTTCTGTGCACTCACACATTCTGATCTAATGTAATTTTAATTTTAAGATAGATGTAAATGCAAAAAAGATTTGATAGCAGAATGAGGATTGGTAGGTAAACAAAGTTCAGATGAGAATTTATGAGAAATTATTAATGATTCTGAACATATTTCCTCTGTAGTCCATAAGAATCTGATGTCTCTAACCATGTCTCTCACACTTCTAGATATGGCTTGAAGGTGGACATCTGGGCAGCGGGTGTGATTACTTACATCCTGCTCTGTGGTTTTCCTCCATTCCGTGGGTATGGACTGACCTATTCAACCATCCTTGTTATGTGAATTGGTCCCTGTGCTCCTTTCGCATTAAGCACAGAGATTCCCACTGGTAGAAGTTCTCTGCTCATAGGGTTTGATGTTTTTTTTCTGTGCTCTGCATAGTGTTCTACACAGGCCCCATAAATGTCTGTGATTTTATGGTAAAATCTCTGTCTCGTGTTTGTTTATTGTAGTTTAAACTTCATTGCATTGCAAAACAAGAGCCTTCATTACAGGTACTGCGTGCCTTTGCCTGAAGTTTTAAATAGACTATGAAATAACCATCTTCTTTCATGGACAAAATGCAGCATATTTTGTGGTTGGTAAAAGGTAATTAAAATGTAAGCCAGTTAATAAGAACATGTCATATATTTTATCCCCTCGAAGCAATTGCAAAGTTGTGGGCAATCCTAAAGACAAGCAGAAAGAAAGAGTGTACCAAATGCACTGTGTTTTATGATCTCACCATTAACACCCATGGCTGCATGTTTGGGGCAATCAACATCTTCCAAAAGCATATTAAGGCATGAGCAATTAAAAGCAATTTTTAGAAGTCTATTGAAACCACATCTGAAAATAATTTCTTTTTGGGTTTTGTTGTTGGTTTTCTTTGGTTTTTACTTTACAGAAGTGGAGATGACCAAGAAGTGCTTTTTGATCAAATTTTGATGGGACAGATGGATTTTCCATCTCCATATTGGGACAATGTTTCTGATTCTGCAAAGGTGAATTTTATAGTTGATGCTATTTTCTTCTACAGTATTATTTCCAGTGGGAGTGCGTAGTACATGTTGTCCTTTCACAGTGTTGTATTTGACATGTCTCACACATCTCCTGCTACACCTATAAATTCCTCTGGGTCACCAATTATGTTTCATTTGGTTGCTGTCTCTTAGACTCCAAAAGGTTTTGAAATGGGCCCCATTCTGAAATGGACATCGTATCTCTATATGATTTCTCACACAACACAGACACCAGCAGCCCTTATTGATTAAGAAAAAATTAAAGTAATTCACTTCCTAGCTCAAAAGCTCTCTTAGACTGTGCTTTTTATGTACTTACGAGGGGCACCAGGTACCAACCTGGAGCCTTTGAATGTTATCTAATAATATTATGGAGAGGCTGATTTCCCTTATTGACCCCATTAGAGGATATGTCTGTTCTTTCTTTCTGTCAAAGAACCAGGCCTCCCATTGCCTTATTGTTGCAGAGTGGTATGAAATACAGGCTTGTTCTGGTCACAGCTCTTGACCTGCAGTCTTTGGTGTGCTGAGGCAGATATAATTATTTACAGATACAGACCTTGACAGAGTTCATTATACTTGCAAAGCAGATCAGTTTTTTTAACTCTCACTAATTCACTAGAGCAATAGTTTAACTCGAAGATTTTCTAAGGATCTGGCATTCACTCTAGTCATATATATAAATATATGTGGACAGAGACAAAATACATATGTGAATGTAAAAAAAAAATCATATGGTCATTCCATAGGTAGATAAGCGCTTACTTTCAGTCAGTTTACTTCTCTGGTCTGTAAGGCAATCTATGAAAAACTGTCTTCCTGTTTCCTTCAGTGTGACAGGGTTTGATTAATCACAAGAAAAAAAAAAAAAGGTAAATTTGGAGGTGGATGCAGGTATGAGAGTAGCTCTGAATCTCCATTCTTTGGAGAGTTACATCCTGCTTTTACAGGTATGTGGAGTCTTCTAACTAATGAAGTTAAAGAATGAGATACAGTCATAGAGTTGGAAGTCCTCTAAACTAAATCACTGTGTTGTAGCAGGCATTATTTAATAACATCATTAATGGGAACCTTGCAAGTCCTTTGCCAGTGGGTTTTCCTGTGAAACTCCTTCTGTCAAATAGTTCTGTCTAAAAATTCTGGTTTGAAGCCTTAGCCTATCCATTTAAGTTATTCCTGTAATTAAGGATGACTAGCTTTGGTCTTTGGCAAGGCACCTTTATTTGCTGTCATATTGCCATACTGTTTCCACGCACTCTGTGAATAAAATAATCTAGGTAATTGCAGAGAAAATCAGAGGGTGAAAAATAATGATTTTAAGTATCGGGGTTTTTTTTTTAATATCTTCTATGTTATTTAAACAAGAGTTTAAAGTAAAACTGTATTTGCTGGCACTTTTTTTTCCCTACAGAGGAATTGGCTTTTTCTTAATGGAAAGCTAACCTAATTTCATGAGACCATCTGTTTTGCACATTATGTATTAAGTGCTTTTCTCTTAAACAGTGGCTTCAGAACCGTAACTCAGAACTGTCTTCTAGCTTTTCAAGATACCGTCAGATATGGATTTAGAAGTTCAGCTGAGAGTTCATCAGTTCATAGTTTTCCTATTTTTTGAATAATCTTAGTATATTTCTTCGGTCAGTAGTTCACTCTCTCTTTGAGCACTCTTACAAAATCAGTTAAAGAGTTCTTAAGTATATGAACTATTGATCTGTTCTTTGAAAGTGTTCTTTAATTTCAACCCTGTATTCTATTTCTCAGGAACTTATCACAATGATGCTTCAAGTAGATGTAGATCTGCGATTCTCAGCCTTGCAAGTTCTTGAGCATCCATGGGTTAATGTAAGTATTTTCAGACTTGTAGATGCTTCTTGCAATTTGGCACCTTTGAGTTCTTTTCTGTCAAGCTCTTGCTATGCCCTTTTGGAAGCCAGCACATTCTAAAGATGCCACAGATTTAACTGGAAATCAGCTGGGTTACAGGCTGATTTAGTGTATTTTGTACCTTGGAGTTCTCATTATTTTGTGTGTGCTCAGCTACATTTTCTCTGAAATGCACTTTCAACAAATCTCAATCCAATTTGATAAATGTATATCTCTAACTCTCAGCTTGCAGGTTCAGTGACACATTTTATTCTCCTGAGATGAGGTGGGCTCAAAAATCTCACAGTCATGATTGAGAGTTACTGAAATATAGCCCATGCTGTTAAACCTACTTGATCCAGAATGGAACAGGGAAACATTTTGAATCATATTTAGCTTCTGACAGTATTTAAGATTTGTTAATTATTCCAGACTATTTAACATGTTGTAAAATATTTGGATGACAAAAAATTGGGATAATCTATATTCCAGTTCAGAAGGGACAGCTGAAAAAAGAAAGTTGGGATGAACAGTGAAAAAAAATACAGGAAGAGGAAATAATACTTCATTTTGTTTGTTGCAAGTTTGAGTGTGCAGTCCTCCCTGGAATACTCTTCGGTCCCTGAACTACTGTGTCAAAATTCTTTTCTCACTAAAAATCTATTCTAAAAATTCAAATATACAGTCACCTCAGATATTAATTTTTTTTTTTTATTAAAGAGTCCTCCATATAGAGTAGTAGTGATCACTTAAGTATTTTCCAAGTACATGCTATAAGCTTGGAGAGCTCCCTTATTACCCAAACTACTTTTTAAATTGTAAATACTATTAACATGCAGAGCCCTTCTGTGGTGTATGAAGAGTGCAAGGATCCAGGACAATGTCTGATGAAAATCTTTTCATTTTGAAGATGACATTCAAGCAGCTGAAATATTTATTTTCCTTAGTGCCAGGGGCTATCCTTGGAGAGCTTGGAGAGCTCCCTTATTACCCAAACTACTTTTTAAATTGTAAATACTATTAACATGCAGAGCCCTTCTGTGGTGTATGAAGAGTGCAAGGATCCAGGACAATGTCTGATGAAAATCTTTTCATTTTGAAGATGACATTCAAGCAGCTGAAATATTTATTTTCCTTGGTGCCAGGGGCTATCCTTGGACGTAGTGTTCTGTCACAAGTTTATAATGCCTTATGGTTTATAATGCCTTATGGTGATTGAGAGGCCTTATGGGTCTCTCTGTCTCCATGGGAGGAGGATGTGCGGAGATTTCTGGAGTGCTGAAGAGGAGGAGATGGAAGTGACTGATCAGAAGCCACAGAGAGGCCAAGTCACCTGCAGTGTGAGCCTGCACACTGCTGCTGAGATTACTGAAATGTCACTTGCTTACACCTCTTAAGGAAGTGGTCACTAATCTTCCATTTTTTCTGAAAAATATATTTGAAATGTTAACGCTACCCCCAGGTACTTACTTTTTTTTTAATTGTTACACCATGATGTGTTTTAAAAAGCCATTTTAGTGTGATGTATAAAAAAGAAGAGGTGCAGCTCTTTGGCAGTAATACAATGGTGATGGTGTGCAAGTGACATGAGGATCTGCTTCCCTGCCTTCAATAGTACCTGCTAGTGAGGATAGCAGGGGAGAGGAGCTGGGGTCTAAAGACTTTTAACACTCCAGAGCTCTGCTAGAAAAACCTGAGCTCTGGTCACTGAAGCACCTTGGCAAATTCCTGAATTTCTGTGCAATAAGTTAACATGCGGAACCCTTTGCCAGAAGGTGGTGTAGAGAACTGGTATAAATGGTCTCAAAAGAGAATTTAATACATTTTTGGAGGATGATCCCATTGGTGCTTATTAAATATAGTGGTCTGGGTAGAGCTCTTGGCTCACAAAGTTCTTAGGTACTTGTTTGGCAAGAACTAGACAATATACCAGGGAAAGTTCAGATCTACTTGCTTCTACTAAATATACTACTTCTTAAAGAGGGCCTGTGATGCACTGTTAGAAACAACATGCAGTGATCAATTCATCTTTGGTCTAGCTCTGGTTTTTTGCAGTTTTATGCTGGTAATAATTCTCTGCAATCAAAACCTGTAGCAGTTCTGTCTATATAAGTAAGTGAAACAAATATTCCATGACAATTCTGTAATTCCTTTTTTTCTACTGCTTTTAACAACTGAAAAAAACCAGTGTTTTTTCTGCATCATTACACTAGAGATAGTTCATCATGCAGATCAAAATTGCTTTTTAATTTTCTTATGTCCTCCATATATTTTTTTCTGGGAGTAAAAAGTCTAGCACTGGGACCAGTTCAGGAAAGTGCTTTAACACATTGCAAACATTGCTCCCATTTCAAGGCATCACACATGGAAGCACTTAATACTGGGCATCAAATTAACTAGATGGCACTACAATCTTAGTTCACATTGGAAGAAATAAGAACATGGCTGAGTTGAAACAGGTGTTTAAATGGTTCCATGAGAAAGGGCACTTCCCTGAAGTGTGTCTGGGCAGTATCAGTAGATAAGCTAGCAGGGGCAGCCTGTTGATGCACAGAGGCAGAATGTACAGTGTCAGATCCAACTACACATACCTCTACCATCACTGGCTGGATCAGCTGCAAGTCTGTCACACAACCTCCCTGGACCTCATTTTCCCAGCTTCAGGACAGAGAATTAATGCACTCATCCCTGTTTACAAAAGGCTCTGCAACCTATGTGTTGTAATTACCTGAGCAATTATGTGTATACTGTCTTTCTGAGAAGAAATGGCACATGGAATTTTCACCTACACTCCATTTTCACAGGTAACCCACTTTAATACTTTTCCATGGTGTGAAATGCTGGAGTTTACCTTCTCTATTAGTTTCAGCTGGGATAGGGCTCACTACAACGCTTCCCTTATTTCAGTTTTGAACCTATTCAGAGTGTTAAAGCTACAGCTAAAATACTAGATAGAACAGCTGGCTTGAAAAGCAGGCATGTGTTTTCTTTGACAATTTTAAGAAACATTTTCTCTCTTTGATCAAACCTTTGATAGAAGTGTTGTAACTGCTTACACTGTATAAAACCATTTTGTAGATTGTAAATAACCATTCTAGTTTATAGCTGCTTATTATGTGATTACTTGGTAAATTGCTGAGATTCCTGGAATGTGCTTTGACAGTTTCAGTAGGAGCAAACCCTCGTTTCAGTTTAAGTTTTTGCTATAAAAATATCTGGATTCCTCTTGGAAACTGCAAAGCTTGTTATGGTCAGAGTCAGACCAGTAAAGCAGTTTCGATGTGAATAATATCCCAGCTGTTTTCAATTCAAAAAAACAAAACCTGAAAAGATGTTGGCTGCATGCCACTGCCGCAGATGGAGATCTTGAATTCTAAATGCAATTCAGCAGCAGTTCTTTGCCCCCTCCATTTCGTTTATTTGGCATCATCTCTCCTATGCAGTACACTTAGACCTGGAAAAAAATCCATTACTTTATACTTCCCCTACAGGGACCCCAAATCTTTACTTTACCTGCTCAATTTTTTTTTGCAAAGTTAAAGAATTATAAAAGAGGCAGGAAGCTTGAGATTTGGCATTTTAAACTTTGATGTTATTGATAACCTGAAACAAGTTACAGGACAAACTCATTCTTCTTTGTATAAGTTGTAAATGTTTCCTAATACATCCCTGAGTAGTGAAAGGGATGTATTAGGAAGGGATGCTGAAAGGGATGGATTGCATTCTGTAAATCCGTCTCTGTTAAAATAATCAATATGAAATGTGTGTTGTTGCTGGAAGAGGAAGATGGCACACACCAGCCTAAAAAGAATTAGAGAACCTGGAGCTTTTATATTTTTCCCTCAATATGTCTGCCTTGGAAATTTGTGTGCAAAAGAAATTAATAGCCAAGCGATAAAAATCATTAAGCTAAACATTTGTAAGAAAACTAATTTTAAAAGACACTCCTTATTTTGCAGCTGCACTACTTTTGGTTACACCCTAGGACACTGTACAAAAAAAATTTCCTTAGAATCCTTAAAGGAAACAGTGTCCAAAAGCTTTTCCAGCACTTCTATTTACTCTAATTTCCTGCTGTTTCTTGTATAATGATCTATTCATCTGACATTTTTAGACTTGGAAAGTAAAGCTCTTGTGACCATCTTGTGAAATGGATCTAAGCGCTCCAGGGCAGTAGGAGTCTGGGAATCCTGAGCTTCATTACATCTTTATAACATTTACTTTGAGTGGCAATGCTTCCTGCCACAGGGAACAATGCAAATATGAAAACAGTTTTTATCAATTACTAGATTTTCTCCAAGACCTTCTGCCTCTTTTTTATTGTTTTTTTATTTTTAATTTTGTAAATAGACCATGAAAGGTATTTTGTAGAGGCTGATTAAAAAACCCGAACAAACAAACAAACAAAAACCAAAGCAAAATACCCCAAAACAAAAAACAAAAATGTGTTTACATTCCAAGCAATTTATATTGTTCATGTGAAAACTCAAATTCTGAGCCAGAGTTTTCAAACTCTTTTGACTGCTCAGCTCCTGAGGTATGCACAGGAGAGCTCTTCTTTCAGACTATTAGCAGTCAACATCTTCTGAAGCTCATGACTCTTTAAAGTTCCCAGCTGGAGCAACAAAAATAACTGGTCACCTTAAAAAAAAATCTTGTGATTAATGCTAAGGCTGAGATGAAATTCTGTGATCCTAGACCACTGCCAAAAGAAAAGACTTAGAACAGGGGAAAGAAACAGTTAACCTCTTCAGAGTTTGACATCCCTACCATTTCAGCAACCCAATGAAATTCTTGTCAGCAGTGTTTACACTGTTCTCCAGTTCTACAACTTATCCTGATGATTCTGATCAATTTGATATTTGATGGGGTATTTTTTTCACTTCTTGCCTTTTAAAACTGCAGAGCAACTTGTTTTGTATTTAGATAAACAGCTGTCATCTCTCACCCTCAATAGCTATCCTTTTGTTGACTGAGATAATTCTAGGAGCCAGTTTAATATATATTGATTTCTTTATAAACTATTTTTGAATAAAAGAGAACTATTAAACATCAGATGGCACTAACAGTATTAATAAAAACTTAGTAACAATAGAGGAATTCTGATATATCCCTATGCTGCATCTTAAACTGGGCTGGAAGGTATTTCATCTGAAAGCTGGAGCCCAAACTATGTGTCTGTGGCATGTTGCCACAGGAGCTGTGGGTGTGGTGCTTCACCAATAAAATATGACCACAATCTTGGTAACTATTGTCTTGTCTGTAATTTAGTCTTTTGACAAGATGACATGAACGCTTGGCAGACTTTCATGTCAAGAAAGCCAAGAGAATGATTTTATTTTTCTTCCCTCCTCTCGTGACGAGGAGTTCACTTTACAGACTAGCTTTCTTCTGGGAAAGGCAAGGTCAACGGGAAGCAGGTTATTTTTAGGGGTCATATACCACCAAGCCAGGACTCCCCAGTGATAGACAATAATCAGCTACTGGGTTCTATTGTTTTGTTTTGTGTTTTGCAGCTGTGTGCACTTGACCATATTTTGCCAGCTGAGACATTTTGTTAAGGGGTGAGTAAGGGATCTCTAAACACAAACTCCCCAAGCTAAATAAATAACAAACCCTACCAACCTCCCTAAAATTCCCATATACTCACTGAACTCATGATTTACTGCAGCAGTTCTGTAGCTCTTTAAAGGGCACTCATAATGGCTGAAAAATAAAAGAAAAAAGTGTCTGTCATCTCTCACTATTCTGATATTTTCTTGTTTTCCTTTATTCTGCTAGGATTTTGCCTAAGTGGAGTTTAAGAATTATTTCATTTGTTTATTCCTATACATACCATGCAGCACCAGTTAGGGATGACTATGGCACATGGCTCTGCATATTTTGCCTGTTGTACATTTTGTTTCCTATTCCACGTATTCTGCGTATTTGTTGCCTGAAATCCTGCATATGCTGCTGTTGGGGAAGTCTCACTTAGTAGTGTTTTTTTGCAAGTTTTTAAGGCATAAGGATCTTTGCTACAATTTATAAAAAACCCTCCTCTTTGCTGAGCTTGAATTCAGTCTGCGGACTTGTGCAAAACCCCAAACTCCATTCTTTCTGTCAGGGTTTCTTCTCAGTATGGAGGATGCCAGTCTCCCTAGGTGCGGGTATCCAGGTTTGCTCTCCAAAGTGAGAAGTCTCAGCTGGAAGGAGAAATGTCCCAGCCCAACCTCTTGTTTTTGTAATATCTTGGAGACCTTTTACTTTTGAGGTCATTATCATTAAATTTATGTGATGAGTAAACAGAATCTTAAACACATCTGAAGTCCTCAGGTTTTGAAATATCAATGGGCATAAAAATAACTGGGTAGTGGTAATTAATGAAAGAAAATTGTAAGAAATGGCAAGGAAAATGAATTGTTTAAAAATTATTATTAATGAACATTGACTAAAGTTTGAGAAGAAAATATTGGGTAAAGAAGAAGAGAGAGACTGCTTGGTGCCATAATGTGTTCATCTTGTAAGTACCTTAAAGGTATTGATGGAGACAATGATTGACCCATATTTTAATACAAACATTTTGTAAACTTTTCTGCATTGACCTATCAGAATCACCTCACAGTTCCTCTTTTTTTTTTTGTCTTTCCTCTCTGAAGCTTTATTTTGCTTTATTTGTCTGCAGGATGATGGCCTTCCAGAGAACGAACATCAGCTCTCAGTAGCTGGGAAGATAAAGAAGCATTTCAACACAGGCCCTAAGCCGAACAGCACAGCAGCTGGAGTTTCTGTCATAGCAGTAAGCATCTGAAATACACAGATGAAACAGATTTATGTGCCCACCAGCCAGTTTTGTGTTTATGACACCAAAAGAAACCAGAGAGGGTTAATACTTGAAAAAAATGTAGCATTTAATTAATATCAGCATAGTTAGACTGGTATCCTGCACAACTTCTCCTTTGGTTCTCCTTGTGAGTCACATTGTTATTTAACTGCCCTAGGAGGTATAACTGTACACACAGAACACAGTTCCACATTTTACCAGAAGATTAGTGGACCTAACTCCAACATAAATTCAACAATTTGAACTGGGATCATGATATTTTACTTGGCAGCAGACTCATTATATGGATTTAGGCCACACAGAGACTGTAGGAGGACAGCACCACTTTAAAATGGAAATTTCTTCAGAATTTAATTGAAAATCTCTATGGCAGCCTAAACCTCTCCTCTCTGAAGACGTGAAAGAGAGCTGTGATGCCTCACTGCTGCCTTCATGGTTAACATGAGTCTAGCCACTTCAGATTTAGCTGGGCAGCAGCATTTTATTGTAGTGCCACACACAACCTGCTTCCCTGTCAGCAGAAGTACTTAATGGGGTAAAGACTTAATGGAACTTCTTGCTGCCTTCTGTCACATTGCAATTCCAGTGGAGCCATTCCAGGTTTGAACATGTCAGAGTGTCTGAAACAAAGCTTGGCCAAAATTTTGACCAAGCTTTACTGAGATTTCAATGGCATCCTCAGTGGAGCATACATCACATACAATTGTATTTTTTCCTCACAGATGAACATGTGTATTACATATACATGGACATAGGATATATTCAGCATATGAAGAGATTATTCATACTAATGCCATTGAATAGTAACATGCACATCCTTCACATTTTTGATACATCTGCTTGTGTTTGTAAGCTTTCCTTTATTACTCATAGTAATGTGAACACTCCAAAGAGTCACTAAAAATGTGACATGTTAAACGTAACCATTCCCATATCAGATTACTCAGTGTTCATTCCCAGCTTCCATAAATTGCAGGTGGTGTGACTGCACATGTACACTTTCTTGTACTGTTTCCACTTTCATGTTTCTCAGCTCAGCCCCTCCAGTGTTGAGTTAAATCAGCATGAAATAAATTCAGCTCAGCACATGCAATCTGGCTCACAGGTGTGAAGTGCTTGTGCAGCAAAAGGGATACTCTCTCAAAGTTACTTGGTATAAGTACTAAAAATTTCAAACTGTGCCTCTCTCATATTTTTTCTTTACTCTTTCTTACCCTGAATGTCCTCAACATGGCAGCAAGTTGTTCCTCATGCTTTTCCTAGATTTTTTCAGTCATCAGCTAACATAGTCAGCATTTATTTATTTTCATTTTTAAGCAATAATACTGCAGCAACTCTCCCACAACTAAAACATCACATACCCATTGCTCATCTGAACTGCAGGTATGTTCTTTATAGACTAGCTGAAACCGTGTTCCTATTGAATGGACTGCCAGCACGCTTGTCCATGAGAATTACTGCTCAGATCCTCCATGCTAATGACTTCAAAGCTTAAAAGCAAGAAATGATGCCTCTGTCCTCATCCATCCCTTGCCTCCTTTATGTTTTTAATTTCCCTGCCCTCCTCTTTTTTTTATTTGCCCCAGTTGCTTTGCCAAGGAATTGTTTGCAGCAGTTTAACACCTGAGTAATGAAAAAGGCACTGTAGTGAATCTGTACACTGCAAAACATCAGGAAAAAATGTGTATGATTAATTATATTCTTAATGACTCTTATTTGTTTTTTAGTGTATGGAAATTTAACAGATTATTTTTAGCGATCATCTCTGTGGGCAAACTTCATATTCTGACACGACTGATCCTGCAACTCAGCCTATAAAGTAGAAATGTTTAGAATACTTAGAAGAGATAGGGAAATACAGACCTCTTTAGTGTTTTGGTAATGTTTCAGAATGCTAGATAATTTCCATTTTATGAATAAATTAGTTTTTTTTTTTCTACAAAAATAATTTAATATGTAAAAGAAAGCCAAAAGCAGAACAACAATGTCTTTAATTGTTGTTTCTCCATTTGGTAGTCTATTTAATATACATTTGCCTTGCATGTCACCAGAGTTTTATGTTTGGGAATCTCCCTTTAACTCTGAAATCTCAAATTAGCTAAAATTAAATCGTATTAACAAAGGCTGCTCTAGATTTAGAACTTTCAAAGTATGTATAGATGCTGTAACATATTGTTTGGCACTAAAGACATGCACTAACTGTATTTGCTAAAAAAATACTGGGGGTTTGTGCCTGCCTGTATGTTTACATACTTTTTGAGAGAGTGCCTGTGTATATAATATATAGAATTGCCATCTGTATATTATATAACACATCTGTGTCTGTGTTTGTGAAAATGTGTTAATATGTGCTTATATTTCTGCAGCTTAATAGTATGAAAGATAAATATTATCATTATTTTGAGTATTATAACCCTGTTTATGTACAGAGCTTGCTAATATGTGGTATTTAGTTCTTAGTTTGTCCTCACATTGGTATGGTGTGATATTATATGCCTGTTTTCTCTGGTGGTAAAAAGTAACACACCTCAAAGATCTCAAGGAATATTTATCATATGCACCAATTAAAACTATGATATGAAAATTAAGTTCCTAAAGATGCGTCTCTGGTCAGCTTGACTGAAAGGAAGTTTGAAGCTACATGTGTTTTTACAACTTCTGTGGCTACTGCTTCCTTCAGCAATGTCCAAATTGCTTTGATTCCTTTGGTTCAGACTTATGTCTGCTTTATTGATGTGGTAATCTCAGTAAAAGTTGTCTCTGTCTATCCAAGGCAGAGACATCCTACTTCTCATGCATGTGTCCAGACTTCAAGTTTGTCCACATTTGAAAGGATTCGTCAGTTTGGACAAACTACCCTAATGAACATGTGCATGCCTAGCAAAGCAGTTCATTTGCTGATGTAGTAGAATGATTTCTCAAACAAAATTAACTATACAAGTGAAGAGACTTTTCTGTTGATGCAATAATACATCATTAAAAGTTCTGCCAGAGTAACTATGTCAGTTGGGAAAAAATTCCCCTGAACCAGCATAGCTTTGCCAGCAAATTTTTAATTGGAGAGCTAGCTTTTAAAACAGCAAGAGAATTAGCAAGTCCCAAAAAAACACTGCTTGCTGAAGAGAGACTACGTAGGAGAAATATCACTTTACTTGCCCTATTCTTAAACTCTTGTCACAGGCGTTGACTACCGGTCTCTGTGGGAGACTGTCTGGGCTAGTGCCCTTCAGTCTGTGTCAGAATGGCCACATTACTGTTAAGCATGTGCCAAAATATTTGCAGGATCATGTTTCTCATGCAGCTTTTCAATAGGAGCAGTATTTTTTAGTTCTGTGATGGTGTTTATAAAAGGTACTGCAGTAAAAACATAAAAGCAGGTTTACATTAACTAGCCTTTTTAAAATTTTGGGGTAGATTTTATTCTTCAGTTCTTCAAGGGTGTCAATTCCATTTATTTTGGTTTGGCCACAAAACAGTACCCTTGTGGCTGTACCCTTTAGGCCTCAGTGACAGTGGCTAGAGTGACTAAGAGTACAAATCACTTTCTAAGAATGCTTCTGCAGTCCAAAGGTGTGCTGTAATTCCTTGTATGAACCAAGCATCGTTTAATACATGTCCTTGTCTGCAGTGTTAAATCTTAGCCTGTATGTCATCACTTTGGTGCTTGTACTTTTGCCATTGTTAGGACAGAGAAAAAGATTAATGCTAATCTGCTGTTAAGGTTGTATGAGGTCTTTCTCTTGGCAATGGGAGTAAACTCCAGCTGGAGATGCAGAGTAAACAAGTGGAACAGAAAAGGAGAAAAGCTGCTTAGAAAGTTGGTGCAGCTCCCTTCTGCTTACAGGGTCCTGGGTTGGGGACCCTACCCACATGGGCAGGCAGCATGTGGGTCATTGCCCTGCATTCTGCTGATTTTAAAATGAAAATTACCCATGCCAAGTGGAATTTTTAGTCATGGGATTTCTTGGTTGGTGTGGAGGAGAAGCCAAGCCTAGCCTGTAAGTTTTGCTTAAAGTTTTAAAGCTGAACCTGTGTCTCGGCTATCCTTTTACATCTATTGTCTGTGTTGTCCTGGGGTCATTTTCCACAGTTGGGTTTCTCATGGCAGGATTTCCACACCACCAAAATTGTTTCAGCTCTTGTTAGGGAGTGACTTTCCCCATTTTTTCTAAATAAATTTTTGGCTATTCAATTTTAGGGCAATATTTCTGATCTGCTTTTTAGGAAATCATCCCTTTTGTGTGTTTTATGTGCAGCATACAAGGAAGCCAGTAGATGGCAATAGCAGACCAGTGTAGTCAAGTCAACACAAATTTAACTCTAGGTACAAGGTTCCCATGGTTTTAAACAGGAAACATGATTTAAATAATTCTAAATAAGATGAAAGAAGCATTGTTTTAACAAAAAAGAATAAATTATTAAATTCTACACTTGCAGGGGAGTCATCAAGAAAAAGTTAAATTTGCAGTTAGTTCCTAACTCCCCTTTAAGTGGTTGGTACCTGGAAATGTGTTGAACTGCTATTCTGAATTTAGAATTTGAAACTGTCATCAGTATTGGAAATATATGCTACACTCTTATTGAAGCCCAAAATGGCTTTTTCCCTTCATAGAGCAAAAATTTGAAAATCATTGCAACAGTTTTAGAGCAGTTATTTTTCTCTGTCAAGATATTTTCCCCAAAATTTTATGTAATTCAGCTAAATTATGTTTCTACCGTCTGTTAGTGCAGCACAGAAGGGTTAGGGAAAAGAACACATTTTCTTTGTTCCTATGCACATGATTTTGCTGATGATAAACTAAACTTGAAAGATCTATAGTCCTTAAGTAATATCACCAGCACAATTTCCTGGACACAATGTTAAGTTCCTTTCCATTTTGACTTTAATTGGTGCAATTTTAAACCAAATAGTTTTGTAATGTTATCTTTTTGAACATGAGGTGTAAGTTGAAATG